TGTGCGTGTATGTGTGTGTGTGTGAGAGAGAGAGAGCCCATGTGTGTATGCATGCACACACATACATGGGCGTGCCTGGTGTGTGGTGACAGATACATGTAGACCTGGGGTGACTTAAGGGTGAGCACATACATGCCTTGGTGTGCATGTAGAAGTCAGAGCAGTTTTGGGGAACTGGTTCTTGCTTTTGAGAGAGGGGGTCTCTCTTGTTTCTGCTTTTGAATGACTGCCCCCATCTTGCCATAGGTGAGCAATTACAGATGTGGTTCAGTTCATCTGACCATTTTTTTTTATTTTGTTTTGTTTTGTTTTTGTTTTTCAACACAGGGTTTCTCTGTCTAACTGCTTTAGCTATCCTGGAACTAGCTCCTCTGTAGACCAGGTTGGCCTCGAACTCACAGAGGTCCACTTGCCTTTGTCTCCCGAGTGCTGAGATTAAAGGCATGTGCCATCACAGCCTAGCTTTCATCTGAGTATTTTTAAAGATTTATTTTGCAGATGCAAACTCACAGGCAAATGTTAGGCAGAGTTTGGGGAATCCTGTAGAAGAAGGGGAGAAAGGATTATAGAAGCCAGAGGGGTCACAGACACAAGAAAACTTACAGAATCAGCTAACAAAAGCTCACAGGGATTCAGAGACTGAACAGACAACCAGGGAGCCTGCATGGGACTGAGCTAGGCACTCTGCATATATGTGACAGTTGTGTAGATTGATCTTCTTGTGGGACCCCTAACAGTGGGAACAAGTGTTGTCTCTGACTCTTTTTGCTGGCTTTTGGGACCCTATTCCTCATAGTGGATCAACTTGCTAAGGCTTAATGAAGGGGAGGGGGGTTTGCTTAGTCTTGCTGCAACTTGATATGCCATGTTTTGTTGATATCCAAGCAAGGCCTGTCCTCTTCTGAACAGAAACAGAGGAGGAATGGATGGGGGGGAGATGTTTTGGGGTTGGGGCTGGGAGGAGAGAAGGAAGGGTAACTGCAGCTGGGATGTAAAATAAATAAATATAAATGTATTTTTAAAAGATTTGTTCTATTTCTACTTTATGTATGTGAGTATTTGGTCTACACGTGTACCGCATGCATGCCTGGTACTACTGGGGTCAGCAGAGGTGCCGGGTCTCCTGGAACTAGAGTTTATGTGAATGTTGGGACCTGATCCTGGGTCCTCTACATGAGCCGTAATCTCTTAACAGCTGAGCTATCTCTCCAGCCTTCTGTGACTTTTTGGATGAGTTTCAAGGATCAAAGAGGGGTCACCAGGCTGGTGGGAGCAAATGCTTTTCACTTGCTGAGCCATCTCCCCGGCCATTGTTTTTTAAATAAGAAACCTATGTGTGTGTCTGTCCCATATGTACCGGTACCCACGGAGGCCAGAAGAGGGCTTCAGATCCACTGGAAGCAGAATTACAGGTAGTTGTGAATTACCTGATGTGGGTGCTGGGAACCAAACTTGGGTCTTCTGAAAGAGCTCTTAACACTGAGCCATCTTTCCAGCTTCACCACGCCTTCTTTTTTACAGACAGGGTCTTGTGTAGCCTAGGCTGGCCTCAGGCTTCTGCTTTTCTTGAGTACTGGGCACAGGCTACTGTGCCAGCTAGTTGCTATGCTAACTTGACACAACCTAGAGTCTTCTGAGAGGAGGGAACATCAATTGAGAAAATGCCTCCTTAAGAAAGGGCTGTAGGCAGGCAAGCCTGTAGGATATTTTCTTAATCAGTGATTGACAGGGAAAGACCCAGCCCATTGTCAGTGAGGCCACCCCTGGCCTGGTGGTCCTAGGTTCTATCAGAAGGCAGACTGAGCAAGCCATGTGGAGCAAGTCAGTGGCCACTCCCCCATGGCCTCTGCTCCTGCCTCTAGGTTCTTGCCCTGCTTGAGAGATGTCAAAAATATAAGTGGAATTAACCCTTCCCTCCCCATCTTGCTTTTAGTTGGGTGTTTCATCACAGCAATAGAAACCTTATGGCAGTCACCATGCCTGGCTGAGTGGACTGATTGTGCGCATTCTGGCTTCTCCCCAGGGCCTTCTCAGTTCCTGCAGCACCTGCCCTCTGTGGAATGATTCCTGAACTTCAGCTGCTTTTTCACACAGTGATTCCTTCTCAGGGTCCTTGCACATACTCTGAATGTAGTGATATTTTGTTTGTATTTTAATAAATAAAGCTTGCCTAAAGATTAGAGAGTAAAACAGCCCCACTGGTCAGTCATACAGGCCAGGCAGTGGTGGCATACACCTTTAGTCCCAGCAGCCACACTAGTTTGCCATAGAAACCGGATGGCACATGCCTTTAATCCCAGCACTAGAGAGGAATATAAGACAGGAGGAGACAGCTCTCAGCTCAGTCTCATTCTGAGGATTCATGGAGGCAGGCTCACCATCTGAGGTGCAGGTAAGAGCCAGTGGCTGACTGCTTGCTTTTCTGATCTTTAGGTTGGACCCCAATATCTGTCTCTGGGTGTTTATTATTTGTGCTACCCCAGCAGGGTGCTGACAGAACTCTACAGTCATGCCATCCCCGCACATCAGCACACCTCCTGCCCTTCCCCACCATCACCCCTGAGCTGATGGTCATAATCTACCTTGCTCTCCCTCAAAGAGCTCACGGTCCTGGGGCAGCCATGGGAGGATGCCCCACGGAACACACTGCCCCCAGCTGGCATCTTATGGGTGCTCCATAGGTCAGCTTTCTCCTCTAGGAAGCTCCCCTGAGGGAGCAGTCAGAGCAGGGGCTGCCATCCTAACAGTATCTGAGAGACTCTGGGCACTGAGGGGCATGGAGGGAGCAGTTTTAACAGTCTGAGGAGTGGGGAGGGGGTGGATATAATGTAAAAGGTTCTTACTTTTCCAAAGGAAAAGGAAGAAAAGGCTTTCTTTGGTCTTGTGGAGAAGACTATATCTTTAAAAAGAGGAGCTATCAGGCTCTATGGCCCCCAGGGGCGGGGCTGGATTTCGGTTTAGTCAGTTGAGAAACTTCAGCACAGGCCCACTTTGTAGAGTGTGATGCTGGAGATGGGACCAGGGCCTTATGTATGCTGGGCCAGCACTCCACCACTGAACCACACCACAGCCCAACACAGAAGCTAGTTTAGAAACAGGATTTTGTGGGTACATTAGTTAAGCTGAGGTCATGTCGGACTTAGGTATACCCTAGATCCAATGACTAGTGTCTTTGTAAGAAGGCAAGAGCAAGGCTGGAGAGATGGCTCGGTGCTTAAGAGCACTTACTCTCTGGGTCTGTGGAGGACCCAGGTTTGGCTTCCAGCACCCACACGGCAGCTCACAACCATTGGTAACTCCAGTTCCAGGGGATCAGATGTCTCTTCTGACCTCCACGGGCACTGCACGCATGTGGTGCACAGATATATACTCAGGCGCACACACACATACACGTAAAAATAAATGTAATGAATTTTTAATTAAACGGTATATCCACATGCCACCTTCATGCCTGAGTCATGTGCACCAAGATCATGTTCTCCCCCAAAGCAACTCCCAACTCATTTCTGTTGCTCTCAGCCAACTGGCTGTGACCTTGTCAGTCACCTAGGGAACTAATACATCCAGTCTCCACACAGAGCCCTCGGCAGCTGACAAAGCACCTGTGGGGGGCGGGAGACACCCATGGGGGTAAGGGTGGCATTTGAGGTGGAAGATGCCCTCTGCTGTCCTAACGTCACCAGTTAGAGGCCTTCTCAAACCTTTGGATATCCACCCTTCAACATACTATGTGTTTCCGGTGAGAGAAGAACAAAGCCTGACCCAGGCCTTGTAGCAGCTGTGCAGTTTTGGCCCGGCTTTTACTTTCCCAGAATCCTCTCCTCCAAAAGTCAATACGCCTCACACAGGCTGCTGGTCCTCTCCCCTGACTGCCCAATGTGGTGTTCCACACCCAGGTCACTCAAGAAGCTGGAGGGGGTTGGTTCTCACAGCCTGCCTTAGAGAACAGTTAACTGCACATGTGTGTTCACTTCCCCAGTCTACATACATGGACCACACCTGACACCCACAATGCTTGGCGTGTGCTGGACACACGAAGGAGGGAGGAGGAAGGAGGAACAAGGGGGGAGGGGGGAATTCTATCCCAAAAGAATCCCTTCATCTTCCCTTCCCTTTCTCTTTTTTTAAAAATATTTATTTATTTGTTTATTGTGCATACAGTATTCTGTCTGCAGGCCAGAAGAGGACACCAGGCTTCATTACAGATGGTTGTGAGCCACCATGTGGTTGCTGGGAATTGAACTCAGGACCTTTGGAAGAGCAGGCAATGCTCTTAACCGCTGAGCCATCTCTCCAGCCCCCCCCTTCCCTTTCTTTATTCCCTTCTTTCTGTGGTACTGGGGATTAAACCCAGGGCGGTTCCTAACGTGAGGTGAGCGCTCTACCATTGAGCGACACTCCTAAGTGAAGTGCCCTGTTCTTGTCACGCTTTATAAGGATGACAGCATGGAGACCAAGCATTTGTTCATGATGATGATGATGATGTGTGTATATGTGTGCATGCGCACATGAGGGGGGAGAGAAGAGGGAAAAGGGGAGGGGGGGAAATGGAGAAGGGGGAGGAAATTTTTAGTCTGACCTGTGGAGATAGTCTATTCTACCCACAATGATCTTCATAAAATTTTCCACTGACAGGCAGCAGAGTCACACACCTTTAATCCCAGCACTTGGAAGGCAGAGGCGGATGGATCTCTGAGTTCTAGACCAGCCTGGTTTACAGAGAGAGCTCCAGAACAACCAAAGCAGAGAAACCCTGCCTCGGACAAACAACAAACAAAGGAAAAAAATTTTTTCTACTAGCATGCTGTCTCCTCAGCAGATTCCACCCCCACCCCAAACCCCACCCAGGCTTCTCTGACTCAGGTGCTTGGAACTCAAAAGAAAAAAAGCGTTGCATATCTAGAAGGCACCGAGGTCATTTGGAGGGAACCCAAGGTTACTGTGCCCTTTCTGCTGAACTAATGAGGCCAGTTTCTGCCCAGCTCTGACAGGCTTCTTACCATACATCTTGCCTTCGTCCGACAGGATGATTTTGCGGCGGCCACAGGGTGGGTAAATGGCCAATGCCTCCTGGAAGCTTTGCTCAATGTCGGGACTCCACACGCCCTCCGCATCATTGTCAATGGGCTTGTCCAGTGCCTGGCTGCCCCCAGAGATGCTGCTCCCCTCGGGGGAGTCCGGAGAGCTCCACTCGTTGGAGGTAATGGTGCCGGCCTTGCCCTCCAAGGCTCGGCTTGGAGGAGCGCCCGTTGGACCTGTTAGAGCCGAAACAAGGCAAAGGTAAGCGGTGGTAGAACCAAAAGGCTGCAGGACACAGGACGCCCAGAGAGTGTGCCCGTACCAAACCAGTTACTCAGGGAACAAAGCAAAGGTCTAGGGGGTTCCGGAGTCAGGGAGGCTTGAACTGGTTGTTTTCTTCAGACCAATGGTCCAAACAGCCCAATAAGCATAAGTGACCCCTCTGAGAACACAACCAGGGCTGGGAAATAAAGAGATGAAGACACAGTGACAGAGTTAGTCTGACACCAAATGAACACTAGGCAAAAAGGATATTATCGAGGAGGTGAAACGGTGTAAACACCATGGAAACAGTATGCAAAATCTTCAAAAACTTAAATGAAGGCCAGGAGGTGGAGCCCAAGGGTAGAGGCTTTGTTGAGTGTGCTTCAGGGTTCTAGCTTCAGCACTACCACTAATAATAATAATAACTATTATTAAATCATTAATTTATTGTTATTAAATCAACAACAATAATAACAACAACAATAATGTGATCTACTAGTCCTGCTTCTTGATATATACTCTAAAGAATTAAAAGCAGGGGGGCTGGAGAGATGGCTCAGAGGTTAAGAGCACTGACGCTTTTCCAAAGGTCCTGAGTTCAATTCCCGGCAACCACATGGTGGCTCACAACCATCTGTAATGAGATCTGATGCCCTCTTCTGGTGTGCAGGAAAACATGTTGTAGATAACCAATAAATAAAATCTAAAAAAAAAAAAAAAAAGAATTAAAAGCAGGAGCTTCAAGAGACATCTGTATACCGATGTTCATAGCCACACTATTCGCGGCAAAGAATGGAGGGCATCGTGCATTCATCTCTACATGAACACAGAACGTGGTACGGGTACACAATGGACTACTATTAGCACTAAAACGGAAGGTAACCCTGCCACGGACTACAACAAGGATGAGCGTTAACAACATTATGTTAAGTAAAACAAGCCAGTCATAGAGAGAAAAAAGACAATATGGTTTTACACATAGAAGGCAATGCATTCTTAGTGCAACCTTAGTGAAGGTTGCCAAGGGCTGGGGAGGAAGAAATGGGGAGTTGTTGTCCAACAGATACAAAGAGTTGGGTTGTTGTGCAATAATGTGAACATATTGCCTCTCTGGGGCCCACATACAGGTGAAAGGTGAAGATGGTGGGCTGCTGTAGCTCAGTGACAGAGCTCCTGCAAGGTCACCGCCCTGGGTTCAAGCCCTAGGTGCACAAGATATAATTCCAGAAAATGAAACTAAAAAAAACAGGGAAACTTCCTCAGCTGATGAAAGATTCGAAAGATTCTGGAACCATATGTGTCTTAAGTAGCATAAATTCAAATGAACACACTACCCAAAACAAACCTTAAAAGCATCCAGGATGAAAATGGGCAGATCAGCCACAACAAAAGAACCCACGGTGTGAAGACGGAACCCAAGGCCTCTTGCATGCCAAGAAGTTGCTGTCTCAATCCCAGTCCAGAAAGAAATATTAAACTAATAGTGGGTTTCACCGGCAATACTAAAAAACTCAAGATAATATATCTCCAAGCTGATGCAAAAATCAGCCATCATCTCAGAACTCAAGCCCCAACAGAGGGGTTGGGGGATGGTTCGTGGGTAAGTACTTGTTGTGTGTGCAAGAGTGAGGTCCAGGGTTTGGATTCCTAGCCGCCCATGTTGAAGGAAGTGGCCCATGCCTATAATCACAGGGCTCCCACTGGAAGCGAGAGGAAGAGGCAGGCCAATCCCTGAAACTCGGAACCAGGTGGCCTGATGTAAGTACACAGTCGGGACCAAGACACGTGACTCAAGCCAAAGAGATGGCTACATGGGTAAAAGCACTTGCTGCATACGCCAGATGGCCTGAGTTTGAGCCTCTAAAAAGCTGGAGGCCTTGGAAAACACCTGTGGTCCTAGCAGTCATACAATGGTATGGGAGGCAGGGACAGGGAAAAAGCTCTTGTCTGATCTCCACGTGTGTACCATGGCACCTCTCAGCCTACACTCACACATAATACACAAATGCACGCACACACACACACAGAAACATGTGCACAAGTGGTAAATAAAAATAAATTTTCAAAAGGAGCGATGGCTCAGGTTAAGATCACTGGTTCCTAGTCTCAGCACCCACATGGCAGCTGACAACAGAGTGTAACCCAGCTTCTGGGATATGATGTTTTCCTCTGGCTTCTACAGTCACTAGGTACCCATGTAGCACACAGGCACACATGCAGGCAAAACACCCATACACATAAAAGTGCATGCTGCTCTTGTAGAGAAACCCGGTCCAGTTCCCAGCAACTCCACACCAGATGCTCACAACTGCCTATACAGAACTCCAGCTCCCAGAGATCAACGCCTCTGAGCTACGTGGATATCTACACATACAACTACATATAATTAAGAATAAAATAAACGTTAAAAAAAGGAAGAAAAAGGAAATGTGCTGGTTAGTAGATTTTTGCCACCTTGATACACGTTGACAAAATACAAGTTGACATCGGAGAAGATGAAACCTCAGCTGAGAAAACGAGTCCATCAGATTGGCCTGTAGGCAAGTCTGTGGGGGAATTTTCTTGATTAATGATTGATGTGGAAAGGCCCACTCCATTGTGGGTGGTGCCATCCCTGAACAGGTGGATCCCTGGGGTGGAGAAGAAAGCAGACTGAGCAAGCCGTGTGGAGCGAGCAGAAAAGCAGCCCTCCTCACGGCCCCTGCTTCTGTTCCTGCCTTCTGCCTCCTGATTCCTGCTTGAGTTCCTGTCCCGACTTCCTTCAGTGATGGACTAAGACTGTAAGCTGAGTGAGACAAACCCCATTTTAATTTTGTTCATGGTCTTTATCACAGCAACAGAAACTAAGACCGGGATGAAGGAAGCGTAGGGAAAACACAAAACTGGTACTGACATGAGGAGAAGAGAATACAGAGATTGAGCACAGTGTCTGGCAGAGGCCTGAGGACATAGGAACCAAAGGCAAATGGCTCAGCGGTAAAGAACCCGCCTAGCATGTGAGGCCTAAGTGTCAACCAGCGCTAACAGAAGATATGGGTAGCTAATTTAACAGTGAGACCTCATTTCTGAAACATAAATTTAGTATATGCATTTGATAAAACCCAAGTCTTTCACCATGATGTCGGTGGCACACACCTTTGATCCCAGCACTCAGCAGGTGGAGGCAGGCAGATCTCTGAGTTCAGGACCAGCCTGGTCTGCAGACAGAGCTCCAGGACGGCAGGGCTACACAGGAAACTCTTCTTGAAAAAACGAAAACAATAAAACCTAAGACCTCTCTGCAAGATTAACTATTTAATAAATAAATAGTCAAAAGTGATAGAGATGAAAGGGGGCTAATTTCTTCAGTCTGAGCAAAGACATCTTTTGAAAACTTACACAAAGGGGACTCTGGCTGAAACAATGGAAACAACACCTTGGAAGGTAAGGATAAGAACAGGACGCTCACTCTGGGCCCTTCAGACACTAGGAAAGTCAGGCAGTGGCGGCGGGGCCAGCCTGGTCCACACAGCGGGTTCCAGGATACGGAGTTCAAAGGATGTTTAATTTGTGGGAAAATAACAAGAAAAACACAAATTCAGTGAAATTATGAGTTAAAAAAATGTCTACAAGGTTTTTCACAAACCCTTATCAAGCAGATTCTGAGATGACTCTCAAGCTCCCTAACACGGTGGTTAACTCTGTTTTTTGGTTGTTTTTTTTCTCCTTCTGGCTTCGCTGTGTGAGGAGATCAGTGGTGACTTCACTCCTACAGCGAACACTATGACTTTGTGTAAATCACACCACCGCTCGGGACCTCACCCATACAATCCAGGGACCTGAGTTCTTCCTATGCGGGCAGTGTCTGTGGACCCCATAGTTCTCCGTGGGCCTCCAAGAACACCCTATAAATACTCAGTGGAGGACGGCGTTCCCGCAGTGGTCAATGCCCAGGTGTAGGTGCCAGCGTTAGAAAGTCGATTCAGGTGAGGGCTCTTGCTTTACAAGCACAAGGCTCTGGGTTTCGTGCCCCACCCCCGCCCTGCGAGGGGTAGTGGGGGTGGTTCCAGTCTGCTACAGAGCTTGCCTCCCAGTCGGTGCTTAGTACAGGGTGTTTAGTGACCATTGTTCTTAAGCTCCAAGCCTGGAGAGCAAGATCTGAACCCTTAAACAGGCCTGGCAGGTACACATAGCTTAAGCCCTTATGATGAAGATTAATATCTGACAGTGATTAATTAACCTTCTAATGCATAAGGCCCCATTAGGTTTGGTGTTGGACTTCATTTTCTCCGTTGCCCTGACGCAAGCCCAACCATGGGCTCTGAGTTGGGTGGAGGGCAGGATGGAGATGAGCTAGCCCTACACCTTCTTATGTGACGCCCGCCAACCCCCACTGCCACCGCTGCCAGAGGAGGTAGTCTCTGGACCCCACCCCTCCTCAACATTGCCCTTTTCCTACACTCTGAAGCGGGGCCCAGTACAGCCCAGAAGAACAGGCCTGGAAGAGCTAGAGACCATTTGTGCCAGACTGCCCCTCAGGAGAGGTTTTCTGAGGACCTGAACTCCATGTTCCCAAGATTGGGTCTGTCCCAGAGAAAGTGGGGCAGCAGGTCACACAAGGCCCTAGGACGTGGGATTCATTACTGCAGTGAGCTGTCCCTGGCCCTGTGTGGCTGTGGTACTCCTGGTCCCCTGTTGTGACTGGCTGGCCGCTCCCACCCTTACTAGGCAAACTGCCCACACAAGCCTGCCCTGTGTGGCCAGAAGAGTGGGGTAAGTCAACCCCAGCCCAGAGATGTTCTCCACTCCTCCTGCTCCTCCCCCGAGTGACCCTCCAGGGACTGCCAGGGGAGAGGTGGAGAGCAAAACAGATGGCATGGCCGCCCAGACCATGTGCTATAGCCAGAGAAATAAAAATAATCCCGGGCTTGACTCCCAGGCCTGGCCTGGAGGCTTCTAGCTCTCTCGGCCCCACCCAGTAGCCACCAGATGT